ACCTAAACACTTCCCCATTACCCAGAGTCTGCAACAGCTGGCTAACCCGATTTCAAGGTCTGGAGAGCCTTTCCCAGGCAAGGCTTCCAAGTTTACCCTGAAGGGGTTCCAGCTTTTGATAAACCCAAATTGGCAAGTAAGGGTGAATTGATTACATTTTTAGTGCAGAAACACATGGGTCTGTTGGCACTTCCCAACCAGCCAGGGCCAGGGCTTGGCCAGAGCCTAGGCCTCAGCTGGGAGGGATTCCCTAAAATATCCTACAACCAGGCTTTTATCAAAACTGCTTTTCCACATATTTCTACACAATTATCAGCTCATGTTCTTAAACCATTGCTTACCAACTTCCATCACAATCATTTCAGTAGGCTTCATCTTGTCTCTATAACAAAAGAACTTCATATTTCATTTTAAATGAGTACATTAGAACAAAATTTAAACTTAATTTCATTTAAACCTAATGTCATTCAAAAGCAACATCATCCAAACCTGACAACACCCAACAGAAACTGTCTGACAGAGCTTAAACCCATTAGAACACAAATTTAACTTCGCCAAAACTCGACAACAACTACACCCAATAGGACTTCAGGTATTTAAAAGAGCTTGACCTCAACAAAGCTTAATATAAATGGAGTTTGGCGACTAATGAAATCAGTAATTTGTTCCATACCAGCTATTTACCTTTATGGTGCTCACATAAAGCACCAATCTGACTATGACATATTCCCTGGTTTCTTCGAACCTTACAAACTCAACACAGACTTTGCCCTCTGAATCTGCATAGTCTGCAGTATAGATATGACCCATGTAGTCAAAAAGGCCAGATGCCTTGAAAGACAGTTCCATGTGGACTGGACTACTAAAACACCAGGAGGGCTTTCCACTTTCATCCAACAGAGTCAAATCCATCATGAAGCAGTCCTTCACACTGCCTTTAAACACATCTGTTTCCCAGCATATGCCAAGTGTCCCAATAATAGGCAGGTGCTTCCTAATATCCTTTAAGCCTACAAATGTGAGCCTCAGGTACCCATTTTCAATATCACCTCTCCCGCAGAAGAGGCCCTTGAAAGTTCCACACAGGTATCTGCAGCTTTTGCCATGCAGATCCAGATGCAAACTCTAACCATGCAGTCCATATTCCAGGACAATATCATCCAGTAAAGGTTTATTAGCTGGAGGGACATATTGAATAGTGGCAAAACCCAAAAGAGTTGATTATAATAAAGACTCACCATAACAAAAGCAATTTCATTTTTCTCCTTCCAAATCCCTACTAAGAGTCCTGGATCCAGACTGAAGAGCTGGACAAGTTCATCAGCACTGACTGTTATACTACTTTCAGCCAGGTTAGCAAGATGGTATTCAGCAATCAAGGAAAATCGACGAGGTCTGTTCTTGCTCAGAGGTCTGCTTTGGTCAAGAAGCAGTGGTGTAACTCCAAATAGTTTTAGGGTTGACAGCATGTCTAAGCGTGGCCAGACTGCACCATGCCAAAGTATGGTAACAGATGTGTCTTTAAATGATAGGTTTGGCTTCTCGATTATATGCTCTTTTCCATCTTTGTCCTTTAGAACAATTGTCCAACTCAAGCCAGAGACTTTCAAAGCTTCTTTGTTTTTACATGGAAGACCTGTATAAGGGGCCAGAGGTTTAACAAGCCACATTATTCTAGTTTTGAAGACAGATGTTTGTTTGAGGATGTATTCTTTCTTCCAATATCCAGGCTTTTCATCATGTAGAGCAGCACAGCCCAAAGAAACAGTTTCT